ATTGTTGGACCAGACGCATCTCAGTGCTACCTCTTTGGATGGTCCCCTCATCCTCCAACATGGAAAAGTGAATATTTATCTGACAGTTGCTGAAATAAGTACTAGAATTGTGGTTCTCACATTGTTTTTCTTAGTTTCCTGTTGGCTTCCAGAGTGTCTATAATCTAGTGCATTATGCCAGAGATGTACCTCAGGAGAACATGTGTTGGGTAGTAGAGAACTCTGATTCTCTCACTTAAGAATTAATCTTCCATCGTTTTTTGAAATATGTATTGAAAGTATCCACAGATACATATGTTGTGTGTGACAGTGGACAGACTGCTTTCATCATTTTTTTTTCATAATATATAACTCTTCAGCACAAAATAACGCTGACTGTCAGAGCATTTTAAAGTGGTGCTTTTATATTATATTAATTTATATACAGACTTATACTAAAGTGTATTATGCCCAGAATCAGATTGTTTTCATTAAATCACACATGATATGGCTTTAGCAGTACAATTCTCACTTTCATTTTCCTTTAGAATACTGTTGTATGCCAGTGTTCGCGAATGCCACAGCTGTTATTACTGGTGCACGGTTTGGAGTCAATGACACATTAGACTATAAATGCCTGGATGGATATGAAAACCGAGATGGAAACAAAATAGGGTCCATGGTATGTGGTGAGGACGGCTGGACCCACTTGCCTACATGCTACAGTAAGTGTGTTTATTTTGTCACTTCCTTGGTCAAGAGTTGAAAAGCACATATGTATGTTGTCCTGGTTGGAGTGTGCTTTATCTGGGAAATTTTTAAGACACGACGTTTAAAATACAAGATAGGATTCAGCTATGAAGCTTTATTTAGACAGTTTCCCATAAAAGTATAGATTTTTCATAAACATAAAATGCTGTTTTTGGGGCCGTCCGAGTGGCGCATTGGTTGGGAGCTGCTTGGGACGCCAGCTGTGAGCAGCAGGGCCATCGGTTCGCATCCCACATGAGGGCCAATGACAGTGCCCTCCACAGCTAAGATGGTGAACAACAGGTCGACCTGGAGCTGGGCTGCCGTGAGTCGCCAGCGACGGCGTAGGCTGCAGCCCCTGCTGAAGTGGGCTGCCATAAGCTACCGTGTGTAGCCAGCAGCCAGCGTGAGCAGCCGGCAGCCAGTGTGAGCTGCCAAGAGCCACTGTGAACGGCTGTCCAGAGGCCGGCAACTGATCTGCCTCACCCGGGAAGAGCGCAATGATAATACCAATATGGGTCAGTGAAGCAACGTCCTCCACAACTAGACTGAAGAACAAAAGGACAGCAACTTGTCTGTTCCCATTCCCCAATAAAAATCTTTTTTAAAAAATAAAGTAAAATAAAATGCTGTTTTTCAGAATCTACAGAAAAGTGTGAACGTCCTCCATCCATTAGCAATGGAGACTTCACCTCCCTCCCATTAGCAGTGTATCCTCCGGGCTCAAGACTTAAATATCAATGCCAAGCCTACTATGAACTCCGGGGTTCTAAATATGTAACATGTAATGAAGGAAAGTGGTCAGAACCACCAAGGTGTATAGGTAAGTTCTTCATATTCTTCTGCACCCTGAGAAAACAATGTTTGCTACGTGCCCATGTCATCGCCAGTTGTCGTGGATTCACTCCAGAAGTGTGTTCACCCACTGCTGTTCTGCTGAATGCTTGACATTCAAACACTGATGAGCAAGGTGATAAGCTTGGGAAATTCCTGTGTGGACAAGGACAGAGTTTCCTTAAAACAGGCGCGTTCACGTACTCAGTGTTGATATATTAGCTGCCTCCACTGTGGACCAAACCTTAATCCTTATCTCCCACTTATGTGGCCCTTTCTATATGGGATCCAAGGGAAACCTGGGCTCCAAATCCTGGAAGTGACAGGACCAGAGCAAAGTAATATACCCAAGTCAGAATAGTCCAGAAATAGCCCCAAGCTAGATTTCATAGGAAAAATATGTGTTACATTTCAAAGGTAACTTCTACATCTCAAGTTAGATTGAGGAGATGGTGAAGTTTAGATTGTGTGAAGCACAAGCATTACCTTTTCTGAGCTTTAAGAATATGAATCGATTATCATTATTGAGGACATAAATCAGTTCTACCACAGAGGTAAGACTTGACTTTAGTCCCTGAGTTGAAAAAAGCATTGAGCATGCAGGAAGGTAAATTTGTGCTTGCACTAGTAAACTTGAGAAAGTTCTGGAAATATGTTTTTGGAGAGGTTCTAGAGCTCATATGATGTATCTTTTTGGATATAAACAACATCTGAATGTACTGACGATCTCTTGAAAACTTTTGGATATTGGAAGATATATATGAAGCTTCATCAGGTAAGAGTAAATATGATATATTAGAACATAATTTTGAGCCATTTCTAAGGCCTACCAATGTTACTGAGGGCCAGACTAGAATGTAAAACACTTTGGTCAAGAGAGTAAGAGGAGTCAAACTCAAAATTTTTAGCATGGAAGACTTTATATAGGCAAGGTCTTAAACAGTATTATAATTTTAAATGTTTACAGTTGCATTATAATAACAATAACCTAGAAACTCCCTAATGTCTTTTAAAAATAATAAAGCTTCTGAAGAAGGTAACTTTTATACTGAATTTACAGTAGAGGACACAGTGAGATAGTGAGATAAAGGAATTTAAGAATCAAGCTGGCATTCAAAACCCCACTCTATGTGTATGTATGTGAATGACCTATCAGCCTTTTCTACCATAGAGAATAAAGGTGATAGATGATAGCTAGGTAGGTAGGTGCATAGGTAGGTAGGGAGATAGGGAGATAGATAGATAGATACATAGATGATAGATATAGATAGATAGATAGATAGATAGATAGATGGATAGATAGATAGATAGATAGATGATAGTAGATGATAGATAATATATAAATGGATATATACATTATAGACAGTTGCATTTTCATTGAACACTGTTTATTAGAAATACCTGGTTTTCTGTCATTCTCCTTCCACGCTGTGGGCCTAAGAGGAAAATATAAACATAGATTTACACTAGCAGAATGTGAATAAATGTGGACTGTTTGTAGTCACTGCTGGTTGAACAGGAAATGGAGAATGGAAAACCATGACACAGTAGAACATGTTCACGTGTCTCTGCTTGATCTGAAGTCACTGGTTGCTTGTTTATGTCAGAGATGAAAAGGGAGATGCTAGGGTCACGTTCATCATCCCCACCTAATAAGCTCCGTGACCTTGGAAAGGTGTTACTGAAGTTCCCTTCACCTCAGCGTCCTGGCGTGTGAACTGTAATGGAAGGAGCTGTATGATTTCACAGAGCTTGTACTTGAAAAGTGCTAACAAGAGCTCTGCGCACAATTAATGTCTAGTAGCTATTTAGCTTATTTTGTAATCTCATTTTATTCTAAAGTATTCATTAGGTTGAAGTTTTCTTAGTCCTGAAAAGGGATTATTGTTTTTATTTGTTTGTCTTTCAGATCCATGTGTAATATCTGAACAAAACATGAATAAAAATAACATACGATTAAAAGGGAAAGATGACACAACGTACTATGTAAAAACCGGGGATCTCGTTGAATTTGTGTGTAAATCGGGACACACTGCAGCTACATCACAGCAATCATTTCAAGTAGTGTGTGGAGAAGGGACACTGGAGTACCCCAGATGTGAATAAAGAAGCAGTTACCCCACATATCCGGCCTCTTCCATCTACTGCGCTTACTGTCTGAGCTGCTAAGAAAGCTTCTGATAGCTTGCTGCTATGTCCTACTTTACTTCAAAGAAAATACAAA